GTACTCTTTTTCATATATGGACAAGCCAAGATGCTTAGGACCAAATCCCTTGCTATAGTAGGCTATTGGCTTCCCTTCCTGCATGAGAACTGCCCCCATGCCTTTGTAACAAGCATCAGCCTCCACAACAAAGTTTTTATTAAAATCAGGTAGGGCAAGGACTGATGCTGAGTATAGGGCCTTTTTGAGCTGTTCAAATGCCATTTCTGATTCTGAACTCCACTGGAAAGCATTCTTCTTCAACATATCAGCGAGAGGTCTGCTAATGGTTCCATAAGACTTAGTGAATCTTCTGTAGTAGCTTGTAAGTCCCAAGAAGCCCCTCAATTCCTTGATTGTAGCCGGGTTAGGCCAAGCAGATACAGCAGTCAATTTACCTGGATTAGTCTGCAACCCATCCTCAGAAATTATGTGTCCCAAGTACTCCACCTCCTTCTTAGCAAATGAACACTTACTAAGCTTGGCTAATAGCTGGTTTCTCTTCATTAGTGACAACACTTCCCTTAGATGTTTCCAGTGACTCTCCAATGAAAGACTATAGATCAGAATATCATCAAAGAACACTAGAACTGTCTTTCTAATCAAGGGCTTGAAAACTAGATTCATGAGGGCCTGAAAAGTTGCTGGTGCATTAGTTAGGCGAAAAGGCATCACATTAAATTCATATAGGCCTTGGTGTGATCTAAAAGCAGTTTTATACTCATCCCCCTTCTTCATTCTTACTTGGTGGTATCCAGCCCTCAGATCCAGTTTAGTGAAGAACCTAGCATTAGCTAATTCTGAGAAGAGGTCCTCTATCAATGGAATAGGGAACTTATTCTTAGTAGTTATCCCATTAAGAGCTCTATAATCCACACAAAACCTCCATGTATTGTCTTTCTTTGGAACCAACAAAACTGGAGAGGCAAATGGAGAGGAACTGTGTGATATAATCCCAGCAGTTAACATTTCATCCACCATTTGTTCTATTGCATTCTTCTATAGGTAAGAGTATCTATAGGGTTTAGTGTTCACAGATTTAGCCCCTGGAATTAATGGGATCTCATGATCCAATGGCCTTGAAGGAGGTAAGCTTTTAGGTTCATCAAAAATCTCTTGATATTCTTGTAGAATGGCAGTAAGCTCAGTGTGGTGTGGTTCTGTACTCTCAGATGGGTTAATGGCTTGAATCATACCTTGTAGGAGGTACCCTTGCACTCCCTCCTTCTTCCATCTTCTAATCTCTTTTTTTGAGGCCTGTTGCAACACAATTTTCTTGGTCAGACCCTTCAACAATACCTTCTTGCCATCTTTATAAAATGAGATTCCAGGAGGCCTTGTGTGCAGTTGAATTGGAGCATAAGTGTCTATCCAATCCATCCCAAGGACAATATCACATCCCCCTAACTTCAAAACTCTTAAGTCCTTCTTAAATTGCTCTTTCTGTACTTGCCATTCTAAACCTTTGCAAACTGAGTCACACCCCAAAGTCTCCCCATTAGCTACTGTGACTTTAAGGCTTTCAGTTTTTTCAGCAACAATTCCCCTCTGATCCAATACCTTGGGGTCCACAAAGCTGTGGGTACTCCCACTATCCACCAGAATCACTACCACCTGCTTGCCAATTAAGCCTAATAACTTAATGGTGTTCATGCCTTCCCCTCCAATGACAGCATTAAGAGTGACTTCCACTGCCTCATCCTCAGGTATATTCTCAATCTCATCCTCATCCATCTGGTTTCCCATACTGTCCTCTTCTATTTCTTGGTTTTCCACTCCTTCTAAGATATTAAAAGTGGGACTCTTGCACTTATGCCCAGGGCTCCATGGGTCAGAGCACCTATAACATCTGTTTTGCTCTCTAAGTTGGTCCCTGAGCTTAGTGATCTCAGGGGTCCTGGCATTGGATTGAAGGGTGTTGGACGATGTAGTTTTGGCTGGTACTTGGTGGGGTTGGTTTCTGCTTGGCTCATTCTGTTTAGGTGAGTAGGTTCTGGGGTTAGATTGGGTTCTTTGGTTATGGAATGGGGTTCTTTGGGTGTTGTAGGATGATTTTGGGATGCTAGTGGGGTTGTTTCTGGAAGGCTCACTCACTCTCAATCCCTTTTCAAACTGCTTTGCTAGCCAAATAGCATCCTCCAAATTAGCAGGCCTAGAGGTCCTTACAAAACATCTCAGCTGTTGTTTCAGTCTCACCACAAAACTATCCAAAGAGTATTAGTCAGTTAATGTGGGATAACTCTGCAATAGTGGCCCCTTAAACTCCTCATATTTGTCAGAAAACTCTACCACACTCCCCCATTGTTTGAAGTTGGAGAATTCCTCCATTACATCTGCATGGTTATCACAAAATCTTTTGCAGATAGCCCTAGCAAACAAGGTCCACTGAAAACCTTCTCTCAGACTATTCAAATAAGTTTCATACCACATAGATGCCTTTCCAGTTAAATTGACACATAGAACATGCATCACTTCATCTCTGGGGATTCTAGCTAGCATAAAAAATCTGTCACACCTCACCACCCACAGCCTTGGGTTATCATAATCAAAAACAGGAAATTCATGCTTATACCTCATTGTTTGTTCACCAGCTTGGTTGTTCAGGCCAGGTCTGGGATTGAAATGGACTCTCCTTGGAATCCAAGGTCTCTCAGCTCTCAAGGGGTGCATGTGGGGTCCATACTGATTCTCTCTCAGTCCTTCCTCATCATCAGACACCTCATGTGGCTTAGTGAGGCCATCAACTGCAGGCTCCTTGCCAGGCCTCCTGCCTAGATCAGATCCTTCCTCTCCTGGACTGGCATGGGATGTTTGAGCCTGACCATGGACTGAAGAAGGCTCGGGGGGTGGAGGGGGCCTATTGAGCCTCAGGAGTTCCACAATCTCATCTTTCCAAGCTTGCATATGGTCCTTCAATTCTTGGTTACTGTCTCTCATCTCCTGCCTAGCCTCTGTAAGGCTGCTATTAGTTTCCAAAAACAAGGCTTCCAGCTTGGTTAATCTATCTTCCATGGCTGCTGATGCTGTGGTAACCATGGTGGGCTCTGATACCAGTTGTTACAGACCTGCAAACTTGCCACGAACAGAACAGAAATAGGGGTAAAGGGGAAGAAGAAATAGGGGTGAAGAGGAAGAAGAAATAGATTTAGGGTTCAAGAGAAAAAGGGATTTAGGGTTTGATTGCTTAGCAATTCTGTAAAAACAAGCATAAAAAAGGAAAACAACATTCTCAAATAAATAAGAAGAAGCTAGGCTAAAAAACAAAGGAATCTTCAACAAACTCCACCATTCTCGCTTGGCATCTGAGAAATGCTCTAAACGCCGTCGTCTGATGGAACATTCAACCGCTTCCAACTGCTACTTTGCAACGATGTCGTTCGGCTTATTAACTTCAACGCTCCCAACGGCTGCTATCAAACGCTGTCGTTTAAATAAGTGACCTGATTGCTTAATTCCGGCTCCAAACGACAGCGTTTTGGTCCCTCGACTTTCCTTCTTCACTTGGCTTTATAACCTGCAACTCCTCCTGACCTTCCATTCTCATTCCCTCCTTCAATTCCTCCATTTTACCCCTCAAGTTCATGACAGATTCTCGTTGTTTCGAGTAGTGAACCTAGGATCTGTTCGTTGTATAATACGTCACTTGGGATTGAACTCAAATGTCATATTGTATATTATGCCCCACCTTTAATATTTCATGTTTTTCCACTAAATTTGTGAAATGAATTATGCAGATTAAGGTCTAGGTTAATGTGATATCTTTTCATGCATATGCTGATATTTCTTTTGAGAGTTCTTCAGATGTAAGTATTTCTTTTCCTATGTATTGGCATCTGGAAATCCACTCTGAAAGGGAAGAACTAGTGTTTGAGTCTAAGTCCATTGTGTTTCAAGAATGGAACTGGGGAAATTATTCCTTTGATTTTAACTGGTTATTGAATTACTAAATTAAACAATCCTAATCTTTACTAAATTACTTGTATGTAAGCCTCGCATTATTGTGTATGTTTCATCACCCTTACACTTTTCATAATATACATGCCACACACTAAGCAAGAGGCAAACACTGATTTTTCCATAAATGAGATAGTATTCCTATTGCTATTTCTAATTATAGCCTTTCATTGATTCTCTTTTCACAAGGGAGGCATAGGGATCACAGATCTGAAGTCTGCTCTTCAGGTAAATTTAGAAAAAAAACTGGTTTAACTTTTTTGCTATGCTATCTCTTTATTTATTTTTGCTTGAAACCAATAGTATACATCAAATTACAACCAAATGATTATCTCAGTATCTCCAATATGTGCAGCAATGTTGAGTGTAAACTAAGTTTTAACTTCACATTACGGATTATTTTAGTGGTCGTGTTAATTATTTAAGAGGTATAACTCTGCTTAATGATTAAGTGTTTAACCAGTTATATTGCAGTTTGTCCTCTCTCTCTCTCTCTTCATGCATAATCTGTGGGGATGGGGGATAGTTTGAACCTATCATCTTAAGAACACTTGGAGAGTTTGCAGCTTTGACATACTGAATTTGTATGTAGGTGTGTGCAGTGATGCAGAAACTGGAGAGCCTCTCTCTTGATGCTTTATGTTTTTTGGTGAACATAAACGTGAATTCATTACATTAATAACTTCATTTCTATACTGTATGGGCATCGAGAGTGTAGTAGATGAAAAAACTCTTCGAACTCTCCCCTGATGAGGTATGGTCCCGACAATACATCCATTATATGATCATCGTAGTGTGCATATATATTAGACATGGTGTTATACCTAGTAACCTAGAACAAGAACTAGGAGCAGTTCCTAAAACAATGTTATCAAGTCAATTATGTTATACCTTACTACCCGAGTAACCTAGAATGAGAGTTAGGAGCAGTTGTTAAACATCAATATGCATGCAATGGTACAACAGTGGATCAAAACTATAGCCAAGAAAGAACCAGCGGCTTTCCTCTTCTTGCATGCATGGCTTATTACATTTTACGCATGGCTGATTATAAACATTGCATGCATGAGGTTGCATCAGGTTATGAGAGAAAGGAAATAAGCTTTCTTTTGGGAGATACAGAGGCCACTGCTGGTGTCCTTACGGTTGTTCATTCTTTTTCTAATTTTTCTACTAAAAACTAATCTAGCTAGTATGCTACTTATCAGCTGTTGTGATTTGCTAAAGATTATTATTTGATCTGGATTGTAGCACTTTGGACTGAAAGCGGATCAAGCACCTGTAATCTTAATACAGTCCAATGATGGAAAAAATTATTTGAAGCCAAATGTGAAACCCGATGATATTGCATCTTGGGTTAAGGACTACAAGGTAATGCTCTCGTGATTCTATTGCTTGGTCCTCGATTGTAATATAATATAAAATATAAGTGTATAGTATAGTCTAACTATCAGTTTAGACTTTTAGTTGACTTTGCTTATGCAATTAGCTTCCATGTCTGAAAATATATTTTTCTTGAAATATGGTTGCAGGAGGGGAAGTTGAAGCCATATATAAAATCAGAGCCTATTCCCGAAGTCAACAATGAGCCAATTAAGGTGGTTGTTGCTGATAACCTGGAAGATTTCGTGTTTAATCGGGGAAGAATGGTGTGTATCTAGACCACTAGTTCAGTTGGAGGATATGCATTGTTGCCTGTAGTAAGGATCAGAAAAGAATTATATATGTAAATATGTTTTGTATTGTTACAGTTCTAATAGAATTCTATGCACCCTGGTGTGGCCACTGCAAGAAACTGGCTCCAATCTTGGATGAAGTTGCAGTTTCATTCGAGAACGACCCTGATGTCAAGATTGCAAAAATGGTAAGAAATTTTCATCCTTGAAAATTGTGTTTGTTCCATAATGTGGAAGCTAAATTCATTTCCATTTGTCATATTCCTAGGATGCAACTGCAAATGATATTACGAGTAATAGATTTGAAGTTGAAGGGTTCCCAACCCTATACTTCGTATCTGCAAGTGGTAACTTGGTCCAATATGAAGGGGATAGATCAAAAGAGGACTTTATTGACTTTATCCAGGAAAATAGGGATATACGTAGCAATACAGACTCTGCTGCATCAAAAGAACCAGCCAAGGATGAGCTCTGATCTGAGGAGGAGGTAATTAGTTGTTTCTCTTAAAGCATTGTTTTATAAATGTTTTATTTTGGTATTTAATTTCATCGTTGTAAATTCATTCCTACCTTAAATTGATTCGACAAAGTTTTGTTTTAATTTCTTTAAAGTAAATAACAACTAAGCTATTATTTGGATCATCTGGTGAGGAAATTAATTCACTTTTTATTCTAAATTTTATGTGCAGTATTAGAGCGTGTAGTAGAAGGGTATAATGAGAATTAGTCGAGGACTTTCTTGTCTTTGATCCTCTAGGTTGTTACAACTGCTTTTACCGCCCTTTCTTTGTATATATGCTCTTCATGTATTCGGCTAACAGAATTAATGAAAACAATTGCCAACCCTTTCTCATCTCAATGTCTCTCTGCACCTTTTGATCATCTCCTTGGCTGATCTCCATCATGGTATCAGAGCAAGGGAGGAGATCCTATGCCGGAGCAGTTACCGACGTCGGAGAAGCCAGTCAGCCACCGCAACCACGGATGAGTCAACCACCGATCAATGCTCCACCAATCATAGCTCCTCAGCGAAATCAGACTGAAGATGTCGAGAATCCTCTGTACCTCAACTCCAATGAGAATCCGAACACCATCCTTGTCAGTCCTCCACTCAATGGCAGTTCAAACTACGCTTCATGGAGCATCTCAATGCAAGTCGCATTGGAGGTGAAAAACAAATGGTTCCTGATCGACGGAACCGTACCGGCGCCGGACATAACTCAGAACAACTATCAAGCGTGGAGAAGGTGCAATCTGATGGTGAAGTCCTGGATATTCAAAACTGTGCATCCATCCATCGCACAAAGCGTGATGTACATGGAAGCCGCAAAAAACGTTTGGAATGATTTCAGAAAGCGATTCTCTCAGCGAGATCCGCATCGTATATCAACTTTGCAGAATGAGATCTACAACTTGAAGCAGGGAAGTCTCTCGGTGAATGAATACTATACCAAATGCAGAACGTTTTGGGAAGAGATGAATGAGCTGCGTCCCCTTCCGATCTGCAAATGCAATCCCCGATGTTCCTGTGATCTAGTCGATCTCGTCAGAAAAGATCGCGAAATAGACGAGATCATCCGATTCCTGCAAGGCTTAGTGATGACTATAATCCGCTTAAATCTAATATTCTTGTGCTTGATCCTTTGCCAGAGATGTACAAGGTATTTGTCATGGCGGAAAAGTTTGAGAGACAATTGAACATCACTAGCTCAAACCTGCAGTTCAGCCTTGCCAATGCCGTTCACAATGAGTCCAACTCCAATGAAGAAAACAATGTAGCAGCAGTGAACTACTATAACGGAAAGAGGAACATGAACTCAGGCAATGGAAATCGAAATGCTAAATGCACCTATTGTGGAATGATTGGTCACACCGTGGAGAAGTGCTATAAGAAGCACGGCTATCCACCGGGGTGGATTCCGGGGTTCAAATCCAAGGGAAAACAGCCGGCCATGGCAGCTTCTGCTAGCTTGGACAATGCTACCACTTCTGAACAGCTTCAGAAACTTATATCCCTGCTACAAATCCAAGTTGATCAACACCAGGCCCCTACTACTGCTGCTGCCGTCTCTCTTATTCCCAATTTTACAGAACATGGAGTTCAAGCAGAAGGCAAGTTCAATTTCACTTCTCATATAAATTCTCTTAATCTTTGTGCTTCCACTTGGATTTTGGACTCGGGAGCAACTGATCATATAGTGTGCTCTCGAGAATTTTTTAACAATTGTTGTGAAGTTAAGAGAGCCACTGTGAACTTGCCTAATGGAGAGAGAGTTGTTGTTCAACATAAAGGAGATATCAAGTTGGCAGAAGATCTGTGGCTAAAGAATGTGTTGCATATTCCGGATTTTAGATTCAACATTGTCTCAGTTAGTAGATTGCTACAAGACTCATCTCACATTTTGATGTTTAACTATGGCCAGTGCCTCCTCCAGAAAGTTGGGATGACCAGTGGTTTTGCTAGGGAAGAAGACGGATTGTACCTACTGTGTCATCCGCCGAAGATCAGTTCCTATAGCAATTCTGTGATGAAAGTTGATAGTGCAGACCTTTGGCACAAACGTTTGGGACATTTTCCCGTTAATAAGATCCATCTTATAAAGAATGTTTCTGCTTCTTATCCTAAGCAATTGCCTTGTAATGTTTGTCACTATGCTAAACAGAAACGAGCCATTTTTCCTTTAAGCAGCACCATGTCGAATAAATGTTTTGATCTAATTCATGTTGACATTTGGGGTCCCTTCATGGTTGAATCTCTAGGGGGAGAGAGATACTTTCTAACTATTGTTGACGATTTCTCTAGATACACTTGGGTTCACCTCATGAAGAACAAATCCGAGACAAGGGCTATGATCAAAACCTTCCATAAACAAGTACAAACTCAACATGGAGCAGTCATCAAAATTTTAAGAAGTCACAATGGAAGGGAATTCAACATGAATGACTTCTTTGATGAAAATGGGATGGTTCACCAAACATCGTGTGTCAACACTCCCCAAAAAACGCGGTAGTTGAGCGCAAACACCAACACATTCTAAACGTGGCTCGTGCCCTCAGATTCCAGGCCAACTTACCCCTTAAATTTTGGGGATTATGTGTTTTACATGTTGCTTTTATCATAAATAGGTTGCCATCCCCCGTCACTGCTTGGCTTAGTCCATATGAAAAGTTGCACGGAAAAGAGCCTAGCCTGGACAATGTGAAAGTTTTTGGATGCTTGAGTTATGCTGCTACTCTATCACAAGGCAGACACAAGTTGGCACCTCGCAGTAGACAATGTGTGCTCATTGGTATTCCAGCTCACATCAAGGGATATCTCCTCTATGATCTACAAGATAATTCCACCTTTATATCTAGGGATGTGATCTTCTACGAAAATCATTTTCCCTTTGCTGACAAAGTAGCCCATGCTGACAAAGCCTCTCAAATGGATACCCCATCTCTGCCCAACATTCCTGTCACTAGCTGTGAAGAAGCTGTTGATCTAGGAACCCTCCATAGTCATGATGATTCGATGAATGACACCCACAGCAGTGTTGGTGTGCTTACAATGCAAGATGAACCAAATCCCTATGAAGCACACACAGATTCTGTTTCCACACAAAATCTCCCAGAACATTCTGTGCCAAGCAATGAAGTCTCTTTACATACTGCCTCTGATGAAGAATGCAGTGAGGGCACTGTCGTGATCATCCACAATACACAGCCAAGAAGATCTAGCAGGTCTCGCAATGCCCCCTCTAAACTTCAAGACTACTACTGTGATGACATTATGAGTTACAAAACATCTCCCCACTCTCTGTTGAAGGTCATCTCCTATGCCAATCTCAGCCCCTCACATAAAGCCTTCTCCATGGCAGTATCCACAATTAAGGAGCCAAGAAATTATCAACAAGCCATACAAGATGAGTGTTGGAAGAAGGCCATGGATGCTGAAATTGCAGCCCTATAGGATAACCAAACGTGGGAGTTAACTGATTTACCCCCGGGAAAAATTCCCATTGGTTGCAAGTGGATTTTCAAAGTGAAGTTGAAAGCCGATGGCACAATAGAAAGACATAAGACACGGCTCGTATCTAAAGGCTATATGCAGCAGCTTGGCATCGATTACCTTGACACACTCTCTCCGGTGGCAAGGTTGACTACCATTCGTCTCCGAGCATATCTATCATCGAATCTGTCAAGAGATTCTTAGACAATGAGTTTAAAATTAAAGATTTTGGCCCCCTAGGCTACTTTCTTGGAACTGAAGCTAGCAAAGTGAATGGAGGCATGAATCTATGTCAACGAAAATTTGCCGTGGACATTTTAGAAGAGGCTGGCTTCCTGGAAAGTAAGCCAGTACCAACCCCCATGGTTCAAGGCTTAAAACTAGCTCGCGATGATGGCACACCCCTGGCAGATCCGAGTATATTCAGAAGATTGGTAGGGAGAATGCTATACCTTACTGCCACACGCCCAGACATAGCATATTCCGTTCAACAACTCAGTCAATTTGTTGATTTTCCTACGGATAAACACTTAATAGCTGCTCATCGTATATTGCGTTACATTAAACTGTCACCTGGCCAAGGCCTGCTATATACTTCAAACTCTCAACTTCAGCTCAGAGTCTTCTCAGACTCCGATTGGGCAGCATGCGGTGACACTCGAAGGTCCATCACCGGATATTGTGTATTTCTAGGTGACACCCTTGTGTCATGGAAATCCAAGAAGCAGATGACAGTGTCTAGGAGTTCCTCCGAAGCCGAATACAGAGCCTTGGCAGCCACAGTCTGTGAGGTACAATGGCTTTTCTATCTCTTACAAGACTTGCACATCCAGCTGGACAAACCAGCCACCTTATTCTGCGACAGCAAGTCCGTATCTTCCGCCAATCAAGTGGCCGATGGTTTTACTAAGCCACTTGGCTCTCAGATGTTCCAAACCTATGTATCTAAGCTGGGC